AAGTTATATTGTAATTAGTATATATATAAATAGTCAAAAATACCTGAAATCTCCCCTCGCCCTGCCCCTCTCCACACAGTTCCTACCCATGCCCCATGGCAGCCACAACTCCTCACTTCCAGAGAAGCCTTGTGCAAACATACACACACAGAAGCACTTCTACCCTGTCCTATTCTAGGGTCACAATCAGCTGGAATCCATCTGATGGCAGTGAGTTTCACACACACAGGAGCCCTGGTGACAGTGGTCAAACACTGGGCTGCTACGAGCAGGGTCAGCAATTCAAAGCCCACAGCCACTCCGTCAGAGAAAGACGAGACTTTCTACTTCCCTAGCATGACAGTCTCAGAAGCCCACAGGGGCAGCTCTGCCCTGTCCTACAGGGTCTCCACGAGTCAGAATCGACTGGATGGCAGAGAGTTGGGTTGGGTTTGATATTTTACCCACACACAGAGAGCAGCCACACAGGAAGTCAGAAGCCCAATGGGGTTTGGACCCACCCAGTGGCTCCACTAGAGAAAGGTCTGACCACTAGCTTGAGTGCCAATTCAGCTCCATCACAAGGGGTCGCTGCGAGTCAGAACCCGGACACCCAAGAGCAGCCGCCTGGGGACACGCCTTCCAGGCCCTCCAGTGGGGTCATGGGAGCTTCCTGGAAGGCCCAGAACCCTGCTGTCCAGGTGGACTACAGCTAGTCTGCGGCCTTTCTCGGGGTCTTGGGGAGATGTGACGATGCGCAGGGAGGGAGCCGTGGAGGCAGAGGGAGAGGGGGAGTGTGCCATTCATTTCCCAAGCCCGCATGGACCAGAGAAAAAGCAAGCTGGCCTGGGGTTTTACGTTCCCTGTTGGGGGGAGGGGGTCAGGTGAACAGGGGGTTAAGCACTGGGGTACGAACTGTGAGGTAGGGGTTCTAAACCCACCAGCCCTCCGTGGGAGAAAGCCAAGGCTGCCTGTGCCCATAAAGGTTCACAATCTCAGAAACTCCATGGACCTCGTCTGTTCTGGCCTACAGGGTGGCGGTGAGTTGGCCCGGAATGGATGGCTTGGGGTTCTTGGGTTCCCCAGTTTTTGAGCGACAGTGAAAAAGGCCTGTCCTAGGAGGTGTGAGGAAAGGGTGTGTGGAGAGACCCCCGCATGAACATGAAAAGCTCCAAGACAGTGGCCAAGCGCTTAGGATGGGAGGAAGAACTCCTGTGGGGCCCCTGGCGGTCCGGGGCCGGACAGCACACAGTCCACAGTGGTGTAGGTGGCATGCCCTGCTGTCCACCCCAGGCTCGGGGCACGGGCACGGGTTCATGTGCAGCAGACACGTGTGACACCTGAGAATAGGAAGCACAATCCT